GTGGTCACTGGATTATCTAGCGCAATGACTGGTGATACCCTTCTAGCAAGGTAAGTGGCTTTTACTAGGTTGTTACATAAGTTTAGTTCCACTTTCTTCGTCTTTTTTTATGAATCTTCAGAAATTCGACAAAGTCTCATATTTGGTCAATGTGGGGCACGGATAAAGGGCTCATTTGTTTGTTTCGCCTTTACGGACAGAGTACATATAAGTGAAATTCTCTAGCGGCACTTCAGACTTTTTTTATTTTCTGAAAATTTTCTTGTTCTTCTTTCATCCTTTTAGATTTTTTGTGGGTTTTCGGAAATATCATCAGTGTTACGAAAGCATTTCGGAAGTAGCTCTCATTGGAAATGAGAAAGTCTTCTGGAGTTATGGAATTTTTTCATGCTCCATTAAATATGTCAAAACTCAAATAGCAATGTAGTATAGTGGCTTTGGTCAAACCTCGTGACTTTTGAATTAAGTGTAGCTAACCTAATAAATCTTTTTGTAGTGAAACTGTCGGGCATCAGGCAGCGCATTCAAGACACGAACTAAAGAACACAGCTAAAGTGCAACATGATTACCATCGCAAAGATTCGCACAACATTATCCCTACTGGCACAAAGAATGATGCTCTTGATATCGAGGTTGTTGGCGACGGGCAGAATGTCGTACTGAAAGGTACATGTACTATTTATTGGAACCTACTTTGTCTATTGTCATTTCTGGACTGGTGAATTGCCGCGATGAGGTTCTTGTAATGGTCACAAGTTCAGGCATCGATAGCCCTGATCCTGTTTACTTCTGTTGTATTGAGCCACCAACAACGAAATCTAATCTTGAGTTCGAGAGAGCTTTGAATGAAATAGCTGTAGAGGTAGATGAATTTCGATTAGTTTCTTACAATTCTGTCGCAGTTTCATTTAAGGATCCCTCTTTGAGAGTCCGATTTGACCATGAAACTGGACAGACAATTGTGGAAACTATGGGAGAGCTTCACTTAGATATTGTAAAAAATCGTTTGGTACGAGATTATGGTCTGAACGTATTTGTAGGACCTTTGCAGGTGAGCCATCCCATTTTTTTAGCTAAGTGACTCCATCGAGAATACCTGCTTTTCCCCCCAGATAGCTTACCGTGAGATAATCAGTGACGCAATAACGATGACGCGCACTGTGCAGGATACTG